CGATCGTGAAGGAACTTCGGGAACGAATAATCCTACGTTTCGGCACGCCAAAGATCTTCTTATCCGACAACGGCACCGAGTTCCGCAATCAGTTGGTGGACGGGTACCTGAGAGATCAGGTAAATCAGATAAAACGGACCTTCACCCCAACCTATACCCCACAGGCTAACCCTACGGAAAGGGTTAACCGCACCTTGAAGACGATGATAACGTCATATCTGCAGGGGAATCATAGGGAATGGGACCGAGCGCTACCCGAACTCATGTTCGCGTTGAATACGGCCGTCCATAGTTCCACCGGGGTTAGTCCGGCCATGCTCAATTACGGCAGACGACCGGGAGCCCCGAATACTCTCCGGAAACGGATGGACGAGCTCGCCGAGCAAGAGGAGGGTTTGCTTCGAATCGGGCAATGGAACGAGCATATGCAGAATAGCCGTTCCGCCATTCAGCAAGCTCACGAGAGCGCCTCGGATGAGTCCCTGAGTCAGTCCAAGTACTACAATGCCAAGCACAGGGACCATAGGTTTAAAGAAGGTGATTGGGTGTGGAAAAAGAATCGCATATTGTCCTGCGCGGCGCAGGGCATTTCTGCGAAACTAGCACCCAAGTTCATCGGCCCCTTTATCGTCACGAAGGTACTTGGTGCCAACTCATATCGTCTCGCCAACCAACAGGAGGAGGTCACGGAGCTAATACACGCTAAGGACCTCAAACCCTATTATGGACGAGACGACGACATACCGGAAAATGGGACCCGAACGCGAGATGACGACGAGACCTCTACCGCCGAGGGAACCAAGGCGATAAGCGTCCCGCCCAACGCGAGCGATAAATCGATACACGTAAACGGGAGCGTCGACACTTCAGATAATACACTCCGAAATGACAACGCGACAACTCCGAAATCACCTCGCCGTACTCTCCGTAATCCCCCCAGCCGAGTCCCACTAGATATCCCTCCTACTAACCCGACGAAGCGCCCACGAGGAAGACCTCGTAAGTCCGCGCAAACTACACACACTACACAACATCGACAAACAACACGAGCCCCTCCTCCTATCATCGGGAAGAGGAAGAGGGGCAGACCACCGAAAGCGACGACCCTGAATGCATGATACACGGCGAACGAAGGACCTGGGAGACCGACGCCAAGGACCCCACCTTCAACTCCGGCGACGAAGGCCCTGGGCAGCCGAACAGGCGCCCACCTTCGATATCCAAAATTATTTCAGGATACTAACTCACTGGACATTTACAGGATGCAGATTACGCTCGAACAGTTCGAGCAAGCGGCAGCCGCCCTCATCGGCTTGGACTTAGGTCCCGCCGTCGAGGGGGTGGTGCACGCCGCACTCCACCTGCTCGCCATGAAGAAGGAGGAAGAGGAGCGAGCACGGGTTCGAGCTCACGAGAGCTCGTCCTCCGTGCTCATAGAAGAGCTCCCGGTGGAGGAGACCGCCGCAACGCCGTCGATGGCACCCGGCATCGCGCGTGACGACGCCGCGACACCGTCGAGACCACCAGCAGGGCCAATCCCCATGAAGGCCCCGACGACATCCGTGGGCACCCAAACGGAAGAGGGTGCCCCTGACGCGACCTGGCCCCCCAGGTTCCCGAGCCAGACACCACCGTCTGGCAAAAGGACCTGGGAGGAGATAGTCGAGGGGTTGAGGGAGGTCGAGCGAGGCTGGACGACCCTCAACGCCCTCCAACGGGCTGTGTACGCCGAGTACGACGCGTACACAGCCGCGGGGCACCACCCAGATGATCTAGATCATTGGGAGAAAGTGGTGTCCCGCCGTCGCCAGTTCGCGTCGGCACTAAGGGAGGTCCAGCGGCGCCTCCGCCAGGCCATCGAGGGCCCGGCGAGTGGCGATACCACGAGCCTCCCCCAGTCTCCGATCGCCGGAGCCAGGACAACGGCTCCGGAAACCACGTCGGGGAGTGCGTCGCACCAGGGCCCGCAAAAGTGCGGGGTAAACCTGGTGGTAAATGTGGACGGGAGCCAGGGCGGTCAAGCAACGGGACCTATCCACATTAATGTGGTTTTAGGCCCCGCGGGCGCGGACTCCACGGTTGAAAGACCGTTGTGGTCCGCCCCGAACCGTAGAAACGGGTTGCCTCTGACCCCCAGAGAGCGAGGCCTCCCACGGGGCACCCTTTCCCGCACTCAGTGGGAGGGGTGCAACGTGTGCCACTACCCCGGGGTGACCCGCACGGACCGCTGTCCACGCGTGCGACAGCACGCCGACCTGGTCCAAGAGAGGCTGGGGTGGGAGGCGCGCGGCCGACCCCCGTTGGACGAACAGGGCCAAGAAATGCCACCAAGACCAGCTAGGTGATGATGCCCTGCCGTGGGCAGGGCCACCGATATGTCGCCCTGTCGCTCAATAAAATACGAATTTAACATCACTTGGACTGTAACCCTTTATTACCCTTCCTCTTCTTCTCCTCGGAAAAGGCAGCGCTAATAGAATTATCGTCGAGGACCCTATAGGTCCAGACTGGAAGGGGGCTGTGACGGTAAACGTCAAATTAGCGCTGACTATTTAACTTAATTGCTGTCTGTGAGGGCAGCACCTGCCGGGGGGACAAAATAGGTAACGAAGGAATTCGGCACGCGAGCAGACGGAACGCGCGCGACCGAATTTGAACGAGTGAAGCCTAGACCACCATAGTGTCCGTCCGCTTACGCTACCGCATCGATCGATTCACGTGCCCTTATCAACCATACGCCAGATCAGCGATTGCCGAGAATGCCAGATAGCCGTGACAGCTGCCTCCAAGGAGCCATCCAGCCACTAGCTGAAGGCCAAGCAGTGTGTGTGTGTGTGTGAGGTTTCGCCATCGAGGGCGAAACCACTCCGTGCGCGCATTCGCGACTCGCGAGCAAAACAAACAATACAAAAACTGTTCCGTGCTGTGCGACTTGTCGTGGTTTTCTCCGATCGCCTGCAAGTAGAAGGTAAGCTGGCCAGCTTAATCTCGCGATCGCGATCACATGAATTATAATTTGATGCTAACATTCGATGCGTGCATGCAACGGCTCTAATAACAAAGAGCAGAGAGCGTACCGGCAAAACGTGTTGTCGACGAGCGAGCGTTCAAGTAAACAAACGCGCGGACCGACCTTTTGTGAATTTTGAGGAATAATAAAGGATACCATTCATATTACTAACAAGTGTTTTTGGATCCGCTTTTACCTCATAGCTTCCACTCATTTTAGTATAGGTTATTAACAATTATTGGTTGACTGACGCATACTTTCTCGTGCTCTCCCGGATATGTAGTGAGCATTGACAATTACGCGTGTCCTTTTAATATAATCACGCGAATATAATAATTAAACGGTTTCACCCCGTTACAATATATATATACATATTATTTTCTCTTATTTTACAATTTCTTACTAATAAAATAAGTCATTCGCCAAATGAATAATTAATTTTAATTTGTGATTTAAAAACTATTTATATATCTAAATATAAAATTAACTGTTTATTTATATTTCTAAAATAACGCTTTCAAGACTCAACTGTAAGAATAAATTTACAGTTGATATAAAGTGATAAATAATGAGCGTCTCAACCAATCACAGTGACAAGCACTCAGAAATCACATGTCCCCCCTGTCGCCAAGAATTCAGGTGACAAGCCAGCAGTTTAGCAAGTGCTTGTCGCATAATATGTATGTGGTATTTTCGCTAGTTTCATAGGTGGCGCTTTGTCACCAACATATAGTAGGTTATGGCTCAGGCTTTCCGTGTACGGCTGCAATACTTCGATTTAACATTATGCCATTCGTACAATTCTCAATAGATTTGGATGAAATTTGGTTTCCTTATGTTTTTGTGTATGCTCTTTCTAAAAACCACCAAGCTTTTTCAATATCTTGACAGAAAAAAAAATATGGCCGATTTTTTCGAAAAAATTCCAAATTTTTTTCAATTTTTCTCCAATATTCGCTCTGCTGAAAAGAAATGGACCCTAAAATAGGCTCCCTAAATAATATTTTTCGCAACATGGGACAATTATCTTTCCAGCGCATTCAACTTTATTAAAAAATGTTGATTAGAAAAAAAATATGGCGGTTTTTGTATCGTAGTGTAATTTAGAAATTCATGATTTTTTTACTCAAAAAATATCAACTTTTGGAAAAATTGTTGTAGAACAAAAAGTGCTTAGAATTAGTCGAGGAACACGTGTGAATTTTTACTAAATAATTTGGAAAATTTTTGGAAAATTGAAAATTTGAATTTCCCGAAAATCCAAAAATATTTATACTTTTTTTTGGAAGTGCTTATTTTTGCCAATTTTAAGTAAATGTATGTGTTATAACATTTTTTAATAAGTATTTTTCATTATTTTGAGCAGAAGAGTTCTATAATAGTTCATTTTTAGAAATATTTGTTTACTTCAAATTACTAATTTTACATATGTTATGAATAAAGGCCTTGGCCGTAACACATTACTAAGCAAGTTTTATAAAATAATAATAATAAACTTCAGTTTTAATTTATAAAAATCAATTACAAAAATATCATAATCTTATATCTATTGTCGATATTTTTTTGTAGCATTTGCTATTTTGAAAAATGTAATTCGAGTTACCCCTGCAATTTTACTTCAGCGATATTTTGAAAGCCTTTTAGAAGGGATTTATTTCAAACAAAATTTCTTTTTGTGTGAAAGTATATTTTCAAAAAATTTAGGATTTTGTTATTGTCGTATGCCGTGTAGTTTATCAACTTAACATTTTTAGTTTGAGGTGGTGTGATATCCAACCATTTCATTCAAATATTTTGTAAACCTTAAAAGGCAATTACTTGTAATTAAGTTTTTTCTTTTTAATTTTGGTTTTCTCAAATAATTGCTGGTATTATGTCTGGAAAAAAACGCATTTTACCTCAAAGAAGGTGTAATAAAAATAAAAAATAAATTGCATTTTCAAGTGAATCTTGTGAAGTGTCTGAAAATGATGACACGGTAGATGTTGTTATGCTACCATATCCTGAGAGTTCAGATTCAGAATCTGAAAACGAATCTAACAATTCTGAAGATGTTAGTGATGAAGATAATGATGACGAAAATGAAGATAATGCTGATGAAAATGACGACGCTGATGATGAAAACGATGTTCAAGAAATTGTTGAAAAATTGTTATCGTACCATGAAGTTAAAAAAAGTTACTCTAACACTCAGAAACGTTTGCAAGAAGATCATGTATACGATTGGACAGATGGAGAGAAAAAGTATGATGAAATTCCATCTAATAAATATTTGTTAAAAGATAAAGATCGTAAAATGATTGCTAATAGTACCCCTGTTGAATTATTTGAAATGTTCTTTTGTAAAAATATAAAAGAATATATCATTGAAGCTTCAAAATTTAACGGTTTAGATATAACAATAGAAGAACTAAATAAATTTGTTGCCATTATTATTCTTTCTGCGTTCAACAAAAGAATATCTGAAAAAGATTATTGGTCCAAAAATGAGTTACTCGAGTCCCCAGTAGTTAGATCATTGATGTCGTTGAAAAAGTTTTTGAAAATCAAATCAAAAATCAAATGCTCCAAACCTACAGATAAAAATAAAAAAGATCGTGCTTGGAGAGTTAGAGCTATATTAGAAATTTTTAGGAAAACTATAAAACAGTTTGGTTTTTTTCAGACAGGACGAAATGATAATTAAATTTTTTGGTAGACTGTTGATCAAACAATTTATAAAAAATAAACCAACTCGATGGGGAATGAAAGAGCTTGGAATTTGTGGTGCTGATGGATACCTCTTTGACTGTGACATATACTGTGGCAAAGGCACTCATAATGATGAATTGTCAAGTATTGCTCTAGGAAGCCAAGCTGTTTTATCTATGAGCGAAGCTTTACTTTCATTAATTTCTAGAAAGAAAATTGAAGAATACCATCTTTGGTTTGATAATTACTACACAAATCCAGACTTACTTGTTCATTTAAAAAAGCTTGGCTTACGAGCTACTGGTGTAATTAGGAAAGATCGTATACCAGTAAAAAATGAAATTGATAAAAAAGCTCCTCGTGGAACTTTTAAAGTTCAATATGAAAAAAATAGCGGAATGAACTTCGTAACCGTGATAGATTCGAAACAAGTTTCGATTATTTCAACTACAGCTGGTGTTACACCAACAAAAGAAGTGAAACGCTACTCCAAAGAAAAAAAAATGAGAACTGACATTTCTATGCCACTTGTGTTTTCACTTTACAACTTATTTATGGGAGGTGTTGATCTACACGATCAGTACTGTAGTGCTTTATTACCTATTATTAGAAGTAAGAGATGGACTTGGCCAATATTGATGAGAATTATCCAGTCTTCTATTGCAAATGCAGTAATACTCTATAATGCTTGTTCAGGCAAAAAAAAAGTAAGCGCAAAGAAATTCGCTTTGAGTATTGTAGATAGTTATGTCAAAAACGCTAAATTAGGTGATTTGAAAAACCACAATTTGAGCCTATCAGAAGAAGAGCTTGCAATGGACAAGGATGTACTACTCGTACGTTTTACATGTGCAAAGAGTGTAAAAAGTATTATTGTAGTCAATGCTTTGCTAATTTACACAAGTAAATAATTGATAACAAATGATTGTCAAAAAGAAATATTTCTAAAAACATAAAAATTGAATACAAAAAAATACAAAAAAACAAAAATTACAAAATACAAAAATACAAACAAAAAAACTATTAAAGTGGAGATTTTTTAATTTAAAAAATTTTATTTAGCTGCGTAAATTCGCAAAACTTGGATTGTATTTCCGTTACATTTTCGGTTGAATTCAAATACATACCAGCCATAAAATCACTAAGAATTGTCAAAAAAACATGTTTAGAGAGAAACTTAATTATTATAAAATTTTTCAAAAATTTTCAATTTTTTATTTTTAAAAAAATTTTCAAATTTCAAAAATTCTCACATGTTTCTTAACCACTTTTAAGCACTTTTTGTTCTATAATATTTTTTTCAAAAGTTGATATTTTTCGAGTAAAAAAATCATGAATTTCTAAATTACACTACGATACAAAAACCGCCGTATTTTTTTTTCTAATCAACATTTTTTAATAAAGTTGAATGCGCTTGAAAGATAATTGTCCCATGTCACGAAAAAAATTATTTAGGGAGCCTATTTTAGGGTCCATTTCTTTTCAGGGGAGCGAAATTTGGAGAAAAATTGAAAAAAATTTGGAATTTTTTCGAAAAAATCGGCCGTATTTTTTTTTCTGTCAAAATTTTCAAAAAAACTTGGTAATTTTTCGAAAGAGCATACACTAAAACATTAGGAAACCAAATTTCATCCAAATCTATTGAGAATTGTACGAATGGCATAATGTCAAATCGAAGCTTTGCAGCCATGGACGTTTGCCACTTAATCGGTTAACGTGTTTATGCTCGACGCGTTATTCAGTCGTGGGAACGTCTTTTGCTTCCCGAATCCCCGAATAAATAATTTATGCGGACGGCCGCGAGCTACTCAGACGGGAACGGTCGCTAATTCTCCGTTACAAATTGCATTATAAGATTATAGAAAAAACCGTTACAAATATAAAAGTTTAGTATAATTCCAATGTTATTAACTAATTTGAGTATTACTTTTTAGAAATTACTTCTACAATTGGTAAACCATTAATATATGTAAAATTTTATTATTGTTTTATTGTAAATATTGTGATATTACAATAATTAACTTTATTAGTTAATAACTTTTGATGATACAATTTGTGATATTTGTAAATGATACAGAAACGATCAATAACTAATTTTGTAAAGTTTATATGTTTTAAAATTTTAGTATTAATGTTTATTCACTTGTAAATTTAGAAAATTCATTTCTCAAAATTGCGAATAATTCTCGAAGATTCGAAGAGAACTCTCCTGCGAAAATAGGCGGGAAAATCTGTGTGAAAATAGATTGATTTTTGCGCAGGCTAGCATTCATTCCTAGCCTTGCAAAGTGAGCGCATGAGATTGAATATACTTGCCTAATACCTAACTTCTTTCTCTCATTGTAATTAACTGAGCAAATCCTCTTTCTTCCTATTGTAATTCATGCTCGACTTATAGAATACTTCGCGCTATAAGACACTTGGGCTGAATTATATCCTTTATAAGAAAGACTTTAGCTCTGCTTATGGGACAATTCGCACTATAAGAAACTGGGGTAAAGTCTGTCTTTTTCTTGAAATTTTACTTACATACTTATATACATTATTTGTTGATTTATTTCATATTAATAATTAGAGTAAAATTGAAAGAAACGCATTCTTACTCATTAACGCAACAAGACCACGTGAGTACGAACTATTAAATAAATTATAAGTGATACGAACATCACAACGTTCACTCAATGGCCTAACCTTAAAATAATATGATAAAACAATTTTAATAGTCTCAAGTTATATTTATTCTTAGGACATAAATTTATTGAATATCTCTTTTATAAAGTTTAGCTTTGAATAAACATCATTGATGATGAAGGGAAACGTAAATTTATAAATTATTTTATAAATAAAATACTGTAAACTAATTTTGGTTCATGTAGTCTAGTAATTTATTACAAAAATTTTTTGAAATTAAACTTATAAATAGAAATGTAACCTTATAATTGTTACGGATAAATAGATAAAAATGAAAATTTAAATAGAGTTTACGAAAAGTACTGCTCCAAATCAGTCGAAATTCGAAAGAGGAAACATCTATGGATATGAAAATATCCTATAAAAAGTTTGAAATCGTAAACAATATATTAAAAAATAAAAAGAATTAAATTGTCAATCGTAGCTGATAGTACCAGATATTTAGAAATAGATGAAGAAGAAATAAGCTTGATACATTGTCCATTATACGAGGATCGTTCAATATGTCCGTAACTTTAAATGAAAATACTATTTATTTAAATAATTCAAATTTTCAAAATAGTCCCCTTTTAACTCTACTCGTATACATGTATTATAGCGATGCTCAACCTCTTTTATGCATAGAAAAACTGAGGAAAAGCGTTATCAAAACTACGGCGCATGTACACGTAAATGTGTTAGGGCAGTTCATCAAAAATCAAGACCTTATAAGGAGCGTGACGTCACGAGCGTGGAAAATTTATTTTTTACGATGTAAAATCAATAAAAACATTTTATTAACGAATAAAAACATTTTTTCAGTCAATTTTCATGCGCTAATCTCGAATCTCGAGTCATTATAATCATTCAATACGTATTTTTTAATTTAATCTAATTTGCACGTAAATATCGCTAGTAGTTTTGCAAGAAATAAATATAATGAGAATTTGAATATATAACAGCGATCCTAGCACCTTAAGAAAGAGAAGCAAGAATTTGACACTTTGATAACTGATTTTTAACTGAGTTATCAATAAATAAAAAATGTATTTAAACAATTAAAATTGCGTTGCAAGATAGCGATTCAACTGTACATACATGTAAAATTACTGATAACGATTGTTACCCGTTTGTTGATTTATATAATAGCAAAAAGAATAATTTGTGAATTCATTATTTAATTATTATTCAAAAACTATTTGTTAAATTGGTGATTTTTATTTTAAATAATGTTCCGCAATCACGAGTAATTTTTTGATGTAAACATTTTCTATAAATTTATTGTAAATTTCGTGTTATTGACTTATCTAACTTTAATTGCTTATAGCTTTAAGAGGCGATTTTTCCTTGAAAAACGATTTATATTAAAAAATTCGTCATCTTAGACTTGATTTTTTAAGTCACCAACTTTTAATTTTGAGCGAGCCATTTCGCGACAAAAGCTGTTTAAAATTTGTGTGAATATCAAAAATAGCGTCGTAGCCCTGCTATTTCCTTTTCTATATGATAATCTAACAGCTAAACTTATAAGACTCTCTCTCTCTTATGAGAAAAAAGCAGCCTTAGACTATCTCCTCTTTCAACAAAATTAATATTGCCTAGAGATTGGACTAAATATTCGTTGCGGTGTTGTCGGGCCTTTCCTCGATAGATGCAACAGTACTTAGTTGTATGTTAAATGGCCCGTCGAAGCAGTAAACTACGTGGATAACACTATGTTCGCTATTCGATAATCGCAACAATATCAATCACAAAGTACCTTTACGTGTCAACTTCTTGCTTGCTCTCAGAAACGCGATTATGAATATATCTTAGAGTTCGAACTATATATTTACATAACGTAGGATAAAGATAAAACATTACAGCTCATTTGTTTCAGCAATTACTTCTTCGTTAGATGAAAATCTTTATTTCTAAGCCAAATTTTCATGTTAGGAAACAAAAAATAATCGGAAGGGACCAAATCTGGATAATAAGGTGAATGAGAAAGTATTTTATAGCGTAAATCAAATAATTTGGCTGTTGAAATAGTCTGACGCGGGCAAGTAGTTAGCTGCTTGGCCTGCTTTGTTAAATTTCTCCTGCTCTCGGCAAGGCATGATGGCCAGCGTTGGGGGCATAGTGAAAATGCACCTAACTACTGGCCTTTATTTCAGCCACCGATAATCAAGTTCTCGCAGGTTTTACTTCCTCACGCAGAAGCCATGAGCACCGATTGCTCTTCGCAGTCGACAAGAAATCGCCTTTAGACGTGGTGGCCAATACGAATTGGCACCACTTTCTTCTTCAAAACAGCGAAACCGTTCGGCATCAGTACGCGGTAAC